CAAGCTTTGATATACACGGTGAAAATGTGTTACCTGCAAGATATTAATATTTATGCTGCAGGTTTTAAGTAATCTCCATATATTTGAGCAACAAGTTAATTTCACATTGCTTTATCTATTATTCTATTGTGGCTGAATGTTTGACATCTACACTCAAATATCCTTTTTTGTGTTACAGCCTCTAAATTTGAAATATTTTATGATAGTGAAATGCCATATTTTCCGTCTAGATTTGTTAAATATCAACAGCTTTCGGCTTACCATTGTGGCTTCTGAGCTGTCTTAGATTTCTAACACTACCCTAGTATTTGGTACTGAATCATAACTCGGGACCAATATCTTAATCCAATATTGCTTCACATTCTTTGCAACAAACTTATTTTATTCCTTATTTGGAAACTTTTTTTTCTGTCAAAATTTTCAATATGCCCTTATTTAAAATTTTTTAACACATAATCACAACCCATTATGACCCTAATCTAAATTAATAATCTATGAAATCACACCCAAAATAATCAGACCCATTATCTTTCTCTCTCCTCCATCTCTCATTTCATCTTCATCTCTCATCTATCTTAATCAAATTACTGGGCGTTTTCTTCAGATCTGATTGTTAGCGGGTTTGTCGGGTTTCGTGGTTTTTGGTGGGTCGTGGGTTTGGTGGTTTCGTGGGTTTTGTGGGTCGTGGGTTTGGTGATTCGTCGGTGTTGGTGGTTTCGTTGGGTCATGGGGGTGGAGGGGTTTTGGTGGTTTCGCAGGGTGGAGGCGTGGGTCTGGGTGGTTTTGGTGGTTTCGCAGGGGTGGAGGAGGGGTTTTGGTGGTTTCGCAGGGGTGGAGGCGTGGGTCTGGGTGACATTGGTGGTCTCGTGGGTCTAGATTTGGTGGTTTTGGTGGTGTTGGTGGGTCTAGATCTAGTGGTGGCGGTGGTTTCGCAGGGGTGGAGGGATTTTGGTGGTTTCGTGGGTTTGGTGGCGCTGGTTTGGGTGGTGGTTGTGGACTTGTGGGTGGCGTGGGTTGCGAAGGTGGTGGTGTGTTCGTCGGTGGTGGTGTTGGATTTTTGGTTGTTTAATTGATTTTTTAGTTGGAGTAATTATTCATCCTCTGTCCTCCTTAATTACACCTTTTACATGCCCTTGTTTTTCCTTAATTGTGCTTAAAAAGTTGACGTAAGATCCGTGCTCCCCCTCTTTATTGCAAGAAATAAGAATGGAGGGAGTATAATTATGTAACTTGTGTATGTTTATTTTTGGTGAAAAAGGTAGATTAAAACACATAAAAGTAGGTAGTAAAAGGTTTTAGGTGAAGTAGGCGCATTACTCGAAACAGAGTATTGTCAATTTGTGATTTTGATTGTCTCGTGAGCCTAATCAAAGAGCACAAATTACCCTTTTGAATTTTACCACTGTACATCGAATTGTACGGCAAGCCGCTGGTGGTGAGTTGAGAAATCCAATATACCCTTGGGTTGATGGATAATAGTCGATATTCTATAGTAATTACATTTATTAGGATGTTTCTCTTTTATGATGATTATACATTTATACTTCTTTTCCCTTTCCTTCATTTTCCTCTCTTTCTCTTTCCTTATCTCGACTTCTTATCTAAGCGTGAATCTTGCCCCCCCTTCTTTTCCCTTACCTCTCTTCCTATTTTGACCTATTTAAACTAACGCTTTGTTTGGTAGCAAAGAAGGAAGGGGAGGGAAAGAGGAGGAAGGGGAAGGGAAGATGAGCTTCATTTTTCCTTCAAGTCTTTAATTTTGATGATATTTTGTAAATTAAAGAAAGACGGAAAATGGATCCTTCCTTGTAATCTCTATTTACTAATTCACACACTAATAATAATAACATTGATCTAAATTTTCATTCACAATATAAACCTGGATTTAAATTTCAATGTAGCAGTGTAGTACATTTATTAAACTTGTCGTGGAACACTGCCAAATAAATGAGGGTTATAGGACAACTTGCATTGAATCATGTAAACACTGACATTTTCATTTTGCAGTTCACTAGAGGACCAAATATTGCAGTATCTCAGGCTGTAACTTAGCTTTTATACATTTATAAGAAATTCTTACCTTTTCTTTCTTTTACTTTTCTATCAGAATATATCATAATTATCATATCCTCATTCACCCAAAACAAAATTATACGCTATCTACATTTATTGTCACATTTTTTTTTAGTAGTTTATAAAGTATTGAGTTGCATCATGTTTTTTGGTTTTCAGAGCACAGAAAACTTGGGATAAGAGAGGGTAAGGATTTAGTGGGGAATCACAAATCACAATCGATCCATGCCGCCATGCGTATTGTTATATTCATTTAAGATTTGTGGAATGGACATATGCTGAACCTTTAAAATATCTACTCACAAGTCATAACAATTACTCGCTCCGTTCTTTAAAGATTGTCCCGATCCTCGCATGTCATTTTATATTGAGTGAAACCCTTGATAATGGACAAATAGTTAATCTTATAGAGTTTTAGATATCAACCTTGTAAGCCTTCTTTATACATGTTTTTTTTTTTTTAAATGAAGAGTACTACCTTCATTTTAGATTAAATTCAACAAAATTTGACCGTCAATATTCCTAATTATCACGTGAGTTAAAATAATAATAATAAAAAAAAAAAATGTGTTATAAAAATATGTACAAGGACAAATTTAAAAATATCGTACTCTATATTTAGGTAAATATTACAAAAATCAAATTGTTGCATTTAATCTGAAACGTAGGGAATACTTACAAGTATTCTTCAAACTCCTTTGTCATTTTCACTTTTATAAATCTATATTAATGGTGGTGTCCATAAAACATTCTCTGGGACTGAATTTGGATAAAAAGCTCTTATATTCCAAATGCACGTGAGCATTTGTATTTATTAAGTGTAATGTTTCTTTCTAACCCCAGATTATCTGAATATATTGCAGTACTTTGGTGAACTTTCTTTGGTAGCATAACTAGCTACGCGACATATAAAACTACATGTGATAATTCCAAATTATTTAATTACATCCTGGATTTCCTTTTGAGCTTTATCGCAAAGCTTTATTCTTATGATAGCAAATAGCAATCTGTGAAAGGTTGATCAAAGACAGAATTAGGAGCTAGGTTGCCATTAGGAGATGTATTATAGATTGTAAATGGTCAAATTTGACAATCTAATGCTAGGTACATTTACAATCTATTATTTCACTATAATTTTTACAGTTTTCACGTATCTTACTTTGATTATAATGCATCCACAAAGCAATTTTATCATGTAAACAAAATTTATGTTCCTTTTTTCACGTATAATTATAAGCATGAAATTAAAATTATCTTACACCATGGCAGCAAACTCTTATGTTGAATAATTATTCATTTTGATGTTGATTTGAAGCAAAAATGAAGCAACTATTCTATAGTGTCTTAGCTTAATTTTCAAATTCAATTTGAATTCTTCAAAGCCATAAAAAATATGGAGTATTTGAATAAGCATATTCGTAATACATACAATACGTTACAATTGAAGCTTGCTTGGCACTTTGATAAAAATATAACTCGCTTTGCATAAACTAAAAACTAGTTCAACTTAAAATTGAGATCAACTTATAGAAACTCATCTAAACATCTCCCTAAAAAATCCTAATTTACTCAAACCTCTAACCCTAATCAAATTATGAAAAAATTGTCCAGATTGATTGACTCGAATTTAACACGATCACCTATTTACCAGCATAATATTGTTGAGGTGATAATTATACATTGAATATCTAATTTTCTTTTTCTTTTTTTTTTTTTTTTTTTTTTATTAACCTCGCCGTTTGTTTCTCTCCGGGCACTTTTGTTAGTGATATTCTGAATTATACACAGTAGTTGCAGTAAATAATTAGATAGTGTGACTTGATTTTACAGAAAAAATGGAAGTATAGAAATAAGTAAAAGACGTTACATGTTAACTCAGGTGTTCTGTCATTTCATGAGCTTCTTGAATGATTGATCTTATTTCTCTCCTTTTTACCTTTTTTTTAAAAATATTTTTTTTCTACAATTAGTTCGTCAATCTAATAATTACTGTATTTTTCTCCAAAATAAGGAGAGAAGAGAGAACCTTCAAGCTTCAACCTAGTACAGGTAAGACTGTAATGCAGTCTATAGACCCTAGAAAACGCAAAAATGAATGAATGATTTATCAACTTTTCATGAAAATTTTCCTATGTAACATCAAAATCAATATTTTTGTGATTTTATTCAAATGATATCTCCTTTTTTATTGACATAATATTTGGTTTTCAATCTCAACTTCAATTCTATAATATCCCTGATTTATGAAATAAAATTTACAGTTTGACTGTTTGAGTATTGATAACAATAAATTACATTGTCCAAATTTTGATATTCTTGAAAAATTATAATACATCCAAATTACAAGTTTTGAGATTGAAGAATTACAAGTTTACAACCCGGGTTAAACTAGTGCGTGCGGCCAGCTTTTTTGATGAGCTAAGCAATTGATCGAATTGGACTAAGTATCCATATCACATAACCTTTGTGGAAAACTGGAAATTGATTTCCCTAAACTAAAATTTGACTGACACTCCTCTATATTACTTACTTCGTATTTGATACCCCTACATTATACATATTTGAATCGCCTATAGACATAATGTCAAGTACTCATATTACTTTAGATGGTCTACAAGTTATTACCCTCAGCAGTAGCATTAGTTTGACCTTCATAAACTAGTAGCCCACATTATCGGACTTAATTGGGACAATTAGTAGTCCCAAATTAATTAAAGAGAAGAGGGAATATTACTAAATTACTTCATACTTCAACATGTAAGTCTAATGAACTACTCTACCTATCATCAATTGTTGATCGAATGTAGCCTTACTAAAATTTTCAGGCATGAATTTGTATACAGACATGATACATTCCAAAATCCCCAATGAAGGCTGATCACAATAGTAACCAAAAGCTTTATAAATTATAATAGGATAATAGTTATAATGTTATCCATTTAATTACATACATATATACCATACTTTTATAAGTTTATACTTTTATGGTAACAAAAAATAAGACAGATAAAGCTACTAAAAAAATCAACAAAGTTACAACTAGTAAGTAATTAAGGATTGAAGACAGAGTTGCCACATTTGCATTTCCAAGTGATAGGTTTATACTCAATATTGGAGACCGAAATAGAAATGGTAGTTGGCACTTGAACTGCTTCACAATGCCCGCACGATTTGCACCTTCCTTCGCATCTTGGTGGCCTTGATCCTATCTCTCGCCCTCGTAATGCCGCCGCCTCTTCATTTGATCTCTACTAGTTTGTACAACATTGAAATTAACATCCAAACTAGTCTAATTTTTGAAATGAAGAGTATAATAATTGAAGCTTCCAAGTGTAATTCTTACCTGGGGAAGACTAGAGATTGAGTTGTCGTCATTTGTTACCGTGAGAAGCATTCTACCTGTACAATGGAAATACATTAGTCACGTTGATGATATAACTTGAACTAGTAACGTGACAATTATCCAGACGGGGTATGTACCTTCAATAGTCGTCGAGAAAATTATTGACAAACGGCCAACCATTCCTTAAGAGAGGAAGAAATAAAGAACGCTTGAAGAAGGCTAAAATTAAGGACAATTTTTGAGCACTTTTGGAAACTGGAAAAAAGAGGGATATTTATAGGAAGAAGTAAACATGTGAAATGTTGTTAATCAGTGCCAAAATTTGATGGTTTTTGGGGGAGGAGAGAGAAAGAAGAAGAAAATATGATGATAGTCTGAAAAATGTAGCCTAAGAGAAAGAGGATATAAGTAGAAACAAGTAATGTAAAAATGATCAAAAATAGGAATAGTACAAACTGATGCTAAAAACGACTACACAAAATAAAGATTTATTCTCAACTGCTAAAATCCACCTTACCAAAAGTTGGGAGAGATACTACACATCAGTACATCACACATTACACATCCTACTCACTAATCTTGCTAATGGTTTAATTATGGGAATGTAAATTTGTAAAATACTCCGTACTAATTTAATTTCCCAAATAGACAAGATTATTTTCCAATATATTCAAGAGGATTAAGATTGGAATTGGTTTTTTTGAATTAATAATGTTTTAGCATTAAAGAAGGAAAATATTCAAAACAATTGAGACTAGAGAGATAAAAAAGTAATTATTTCTATTTTTCTTTTAACTCCAACTAGACACATATGTAACATATGGACTATGGAGTATCATTTTAAAATTAAAGATCCATGTTCATTTTGAGTTAGTGTAATCGTCAAACCTGATTCTTATTAATTATATTTCAATGTTATGAGAATAGAAATGGTTCTTTCTCATTCAATATTGATACTGTAATGACATTGATTTTTAATTTGCAAATTGTAAATATTTATACTAATAATAACAATTTCATTTGTGAGAACAAGTTGACGGAGATCTCATCTTAATATATACTTCATTCATATGCCATATCTCTATATTTTTGTTAAGTATACTTCACTTTCAACCAATTTCAACACTTCACCCCTCATAAAGTCATTGAAAGCCTCTCAAAGACTTTTTTTTTTTTTTTTTGGACAACGGTCCAAAAAGAAGGCTAGCTCTCAACTGACTCAAAAGTGCAACGAGAAAATTTACACCTTTTAACCAAACTAGAACAAGGACTAAAAAGGGGATTGGGGTTACAGACGCTATGAACTGCTTGGCAATGCAAATAAGAGGGTTGAGGATATCCATCGCAAGTTGTTCCAAACTTGTTCCCTTGCGTTTCTTGATCCTGCTAAAACGACTAAAATACCTTTTACCTTTCTTATTTTTCACCTTTAACCTGATTGGCCTTCCATGTTTTCTTGACGTGGAAGAAATCATGAAGGTAGTGGGTGGTGGAGAGGATTGTACATGGTTGGGTTTAGCAGTCATGGGGTCTTCGTCATTAGAACCTACGAATTCCACTTCATCAATATCAGTGGTAGTTAAATCTCTCGCAGGTATCTCGTTCCCCTCCTCGATATTCGAACCCTCATTGTTGCTAGAAGTTAGGTTAGTAGGTAATGATCATCTAATTTCTCAACGGTAGTGCTGTTGGGCTTGGGAAGTCCAGCAACGTGGCTGACCTCGGCGGAGTCCAGGGATCGTTTGGCCTTTTTCTCTTGGCCCTTTTTGTTGCAACACCTCTTTTTTAGACCCACCATCCTAGTGAGCGTGATTAAGGTATCAGGAACTTTGGATTCCTTTGCCTTATGGGATTCAGAATGCCTATTGTAGGTGGTCTTTTCCTTCACGTTTACAGTCATCCATGATACAGCAGAATGTTTGAAAAAACTCAAGGTTTTCCCTTGACAATGATCCGAAAAAAAGACAACTCGGAAATCTTAAGGGACAGATTCCTTCTTGATCTGTTGTGGCACACATGGAATTTTCTCGGTCCCTTGTCCGTAGCATGTCTAGAATCCTGGTTGTTTGGAGAGCTAGTAGCATCATCATCCCATTTTTCCAAAGGGGTAAGATCATTGGGTGTAGTGATGAGGCTCACCATCATCTCATTAGCAACGTCCATTGGTGGGTAGGGCCGTAATATCACTCTAAGCATCGCTACTAGGCAACCTAATAGAGTGTAGACTGATAGAGGGATTGCTGATCTTCCCCTTTTTGTTGAAGATGGTGTGGGACAAGTTGGATTCCTCAGTGCCCCTCTTTCCCTCTTTCCCTTGAACTTCCTAGCTTTTCTTCTCAACCCCTCCACCTTCTCCATTTCGCGAAGGATGTCCTGATTTTTAGGCTCAGTCTTAGCTGCTTTGCCAAGATCTTCATGGGCCTCTTCGAGTTGATAAAGCCTGATTTCAGCTAAAGCCCTTCTGTCAAGGGCTTTAGTATTGTTACCATCAAACATAATGCCTAATGAGCATAACTCCTTAGTTTGTTCGAAATCACGGACTTTTAGGGCTCAAGCTGCAAGGTTTAAATCAAGGGATATGGCAAGGTTCCATAGAAAGACACAATCATCTTCATCTCTTAGCAGACAAAGGCACAAAAGTTTCAGTCCTCTATCATACTTAGCCCCAGAAAGAACTACTTCACTTTTCTTGAAGTAAGAATTGCCCTCTTCCTTCAATTCTTTTGCTTAATTAAAATGTTTTGGTGGCAATTATTTTTGGCAAAGTTGACAATGTTTTCGTCAAAATCATCGTTTTAGTGGGTAAGCATAAGGGCACTAAGTAATTTGCGACAGTCCATAATGAGACTTCTAAAGGCGAGAAAAGAGTTGATTAACAAAGCACAACGAAAAACATAAACACTTCCAAGTAAGAAACAAACCCTCGTAGGGCCAACAACAAAGGTCACAAAGTTCAGGTTGCGAGCAGGGCTAGCGCAACCCAGACACTACTGCAAACCCACACTAAAAACAATCAGTCGTCGCAAAAGCCGAGGATGAAATTTCCGTCAAGTGGTGACCGGAACCCGCCACTAAACACAGGGAAACTAGCGGAAAAACAAAAGGGCAGCCACCCACCTTGACCCCCAGCGTGAAGAAAGCCGGCAGGTCACGGCTGAAGGATGCGGAGCCAAGCAGGGCCGTCGTAGATCTGAGCACCCTCACTTACAGGTGCTCCTTCGAGCTACGGGGACAAGGGTTGCTTTGTTTAAGGCAGTGATTGAGGACCTCGCAATCTAGTATTGCCAGGGAGAAAGAGGCTCGTCGGCGATTGAGAGGGGAAGCCGCCTACATCGATTGCCGGCAGCCCGCCTGAGAAAGCAGAGGAGAAGCTAGTTTTATAAAATTAGGGGCTTGCAAATGGTATTGGGATTTTGGAGCTCGCACGTGGAGCGCGTTCTTTTGTCTGTGATATAAGACTCAAAATATGTGATATACAAAGTATTACTTATACAGTTATACTTGTATATTTTTTCCAAGTGAAGGAGTATCCATCATTCCATTCCATCCTAGTGTCTTAGTAGGAACCATAATTTTCAAGACTAGACTTTAGAATTTATCACACGAGCCACAAAATTCTATGGGCTACAAAAACCATGTGCTCAAAATTCAAAAATGCATTTCTTAGAATACATAAGTACATAACAAGGGAATGATACATTTGAATATTTGATATTGCACTAGTTATCATTGCATCAAGTAGACATGTAGTGGGAATTTAGAAATTCCATCCACATTCTATATATGTTGAATAAAAAAAGTTACATCTAAATTATAACTTGGCATAAAATTAAGATTTAGGTGAAGAGGATTTATAATTAAAAGAACTTTTTATGAGTCATGAATCTCATGATATATGTAGTTTTTTGGGGTACATATACAATTCTTATAAGTATTTTATCTTTTCTAATATGGTATTAATTTAAAAATGTATGACAATTTACTCGTAAATAAGTGTAACTAATGTTATATTGCATTTGTCTTTTTCATTTTAAACTCCTTATGTATAACCACTACTAGAAATAGGCCGATTTCCGACGGACCATTTCCGACGGACATGTTTTTCCGTCGTAAATTCCGACAGATTTGTATTCCGTCGGAAATTTACGACGGATTTCCTACGGAATATAAATCCGTTGGAATATATGGGCTTTCCGACGGAATATTCCGTCGGAAACTAAACGATTCGACGGAAATAAAATCCGTCGGAACTTTCCGGCGGATTATTACGTCGGAACATTAAGTTTCCAACGGAAATAAAATCCATCGGAAAGTAATTAAATAATAATAAAAAAAAACCAAACCTAAAAAACCCTAAAAAACCGGTTATTATACAAACTCATTTCCGCCTCTTTTTTCTTCTATTCCCTTTCTCTCTCCTCTCTTCTTCTTTCCTCTCAGATTCTCACTCTACTCCTCTGTTCCTCTTCATTCTCTTCTCCTCCCCTTTTCTCTCCTCTTCTCAATCTAAATTCCTCTCATTTCCTCTTCTCTTCTCCAACCTTTCACTCTCCTCTTCGATCTCTTCTCCTCTTTCACTCTCCTCTTCAATCTCCTAGCCACCATCAATGAATACCGAAGATCATCGTCAACACCGAGATCAACAACAACCACCAACACCGCACAACAACGGCGCAACAAAAGCCTCTGTCGCAACAACACGGTTTATTATCTTAGATTGTAGATCTAGCCTTTTTTTCCTTTTAAATTCTGATTTTAGTTAATTATTGATGTCATTGTAATGTTAATGTATAAATTTTGTTAAATAATTGTATAATTATATATTTCTTTTAATTAATTTGGATAATTTTCGTTGTTTTTTTTTATGTAATTTTCGTTTTTTTTTTTTGGAATTTTTTTCTTTTTTGTTAAATTCTAGTGGTGGTTTCGATTATTGCATGCTATTTTTCGGTTTTATTGTGTTAATTTCCGTATTTTTGGGCTCATTTGTTTTTTTTGGGGTTAATTTTTGATTTTTTTGTGGTTAAATTTTGGTGAGGTGGTGTCGGTGGTGGTGTGTGGGTGGTTTCGGTGGTGGTGCGTGGGTGGTTTCGGTGGTGGTGCGTGGGTGGTTTCGGTGGTTGTGCGTTGTTGGTTAATCTGGGTTAGGCTTCGGTGGTGGTGGGTGGTGGCTAAGGGTTAAGGAGGAGGGTAGTGGTGGATGAGTAAGGGTAAGGGGTAGGTGTGGCGGTGGGTGGATGAGGATGGTTAGGGCTGGTGGGGTGGGGCCTATTTTTTTTTATTTGTTTTTGCAGGGGTTTCTGACGGAATTTCCGTCGTCGGAAATTTCCTACGGACTTTCCGGTACCGGAAAACCTCATCCGATGACAAAAATCCGTCGGAAATTCCGTCGGAACAGCGTTTTCCGACGAAAATAGCCGTTTTTCCTACAAAGGGTCTTCCGACAACACGTTCCGACGGAAATTCCGTCAGAACAGTGT